ATTTTTGCAAAAAATTCAATTTTTAAGGGAAAAATGCCATTTTCAAAAAATTCTATCTCCGGTCCGGAGAAAGATATTTCTAAGGTGTTTTGTGTTAAATACTCACAAAAATATGCTTTATCAAATGGGTTTGTTAAATTTCTTCCGAAAAATTTTTCCGATGATATGGGATTTGGTATATCTTGTAGAAACATGTAAACTGAGATACAAATAGAGCTTTCGATTGCTATATAGAACGTATTTTTTGACCGAAAAATAGTTAATTTTCATTTGAATTACTCTTGTCCCTATCTTTATGTCGACAACTGTATATCTTCAAATTTTACATTACTCTTTATATGAAAGTTAACTAAGACGAATTCTTAGCAGTTTAAGAAAAATTTGTCCCAACAAAATTAATATTACTCACTGCCCGAGCATTTTAATGATATGATCCCTTTCAGAAACATCAATTTTGTTTAAATATTCCAAAACATGCAACTCATTTCTATAACCATTAAGTGAATAGTATACTTTTAATGCCACACAAGTAGTATTCTCGCCAATCCAATGTGCGTGGTAAACCTTTTCAAATTTTAAAGCTAGGGTTGTATATATTAAATTTATTTGTCATAATTGAGTTTATGAAACGCCCATTTTAGCGTCTCATAAAAGGCGAGAGAGAATAGGCCAAATCAACTTATTCTCTCATAAAAGTTTTGGGCCCGATCAAAAGTTGGCCTGTCTTCTCTCCCTTTTATTTATTAATATTTGTTGAATAAAAAGTTAAAAAGAAGGCCTTCGTTTTAATAGGTGGATCGGCGCGAACCAAGGGTGGGTTACCACTCTTGGGGCCCAATGCCGACTAGCTCCCTGTAAAAAGTTGTTAGGAAATTTAAGATTATTTTTTTCGGTTCTCAATTTCGATACACGGAGATTTCTATTTCTGTTTTTAAAAAACTTGCATTGTTAGTTTGACCTTCTCCAATTTGGCCTAATGGTTCTGTAGTATATTTCAATTTCATTACATTTCCATCAACACCATTTACCTCCAAATGATTATCTAAATGTTCCAATAAAAATGCTCCGCATTTGCACCTTTCTTGATTGTCATGAGAGGTTGACACAGCTTAAAATTAAATTTAGACAATAACCTCCGTCTAGTTTAAGAAACTACTTAAGTGAAATCACCTTTTCTTTTGCCTAAACTTTTGCTATGATCAACAGCATTTATTGAGGAATACTCGTAAAAAGACAACATCAATGCTGAGAAAATTAGAAAGTTTTTTAATTTCATTTTACCCTAAAGTTTTTGCGATATTTTTAAATTTATTTTTAAATTTTTTTAAAGGTTCAGGATGTTTTATTTAAATGTTCATTGCTAGATACTGTTTTATAATGTAGACAATCCAAAAGATTTTACAAGTTAAGGGCCAAAGTAGAAAGGGCCAAAGTAAAAATAATTAATTAAATAAAAACTTTTTAAAGTTAAGTCAAAATTTAAAAAAGAAGGATAACTTTAAGAAAAAATTTACTTTAATAAAAATTAGGCAATAATGCACTCTTAATTTTTTTTAAATTATGAAAGGAAAGGCAATGAGGGAGAGGGCATATGTAAAAATTTTTTAAAGTGAATTTATTGACAAATTTTTATTGACAGGCTTTATAAAATTAAAAAAAGAATTTTTAATTTAATAAATTTTAAGTATAAATAGAAATTTTTAAAAGTTTATTTGATAAAACTACAACAACAACAATATCATCTGCCTAATCTGATATAACAACGAAACTCGAATAGTTGAAATGTCGTTGATAGAGTTATCATATTCTTTATATTTTCAATATTTTTATTTGTTTATATGGTTGCCCAACTTGTTTCTTCTTGTTCTCCTATTGGCCCAATTTCATACAAACACTATTCTCAGGCCTCAAGGGCCTGAGAATAATGGTTGACCTGGGGGGCCTCTCTCTAAAATTTGGTGAACTGATTTATCCTTTACAATGTTTAATGAATTTGCCTATTAATATCTTCATAAACCATTAGACCCGTAATACTAATCGCGGTAATGTTTAGCCAATATCGTCAATATCAATCGCCAAATATCGCCTGAAAGACCAGGTAGACAAACGTGTCCAGGTCCTACCTTTGCTAAACCCCGCCTAAAAGCCAGGAATGCTTGGAGTGCTGGAAGATAGAAATGAATGCAATAAAAGTTTATTAAATAAAACTTTTAAAATTTACATTTATAAATTATATTTATTTTTTAGAAAAAAATTTTTTATTTTAAAGCCTGTCAAGAAAAATCTGTCAATAAATCCATTTTAAATTTTTTAATTTGCCTTCTCCCTATTGCCTTCCCTCGAATAATTTAATAAAAATTAATAATGTATTGCTGGCTAATTATTATAGACATCCTTCATAAATACATTTTAAATCTTACATTAATTTTTAATTTTTGCCATTAAATTAAAAAAAGTTTTAACAAAAAAAGTTTTAACAAAGTTTAACAACCCTTTGTAACAACCCCGCATAAAAGGCCAGAAATGTTTGGATTGCTGGAAGATAGAAATGAATACAATAAAAGTTTATTAAATAAAACTTTTAAAATTTAAATTTATAAATATATTTATTTAAAATTTTTTTTATTTTTAAAGCCTGTCAAGAAAAATCTGTCAATAAATCCATTTTAAATTTTTTAATTTGCCTTCTCCCTATTGCCTTCCCTAGAATAATTTAATAAAAATAAATAATGTATTGCTGGCTAATTTTATTTAATTTTTAATTTTTGCCTTTAAATTAAAAAAGTTGTTTTTTATTTATTAATTTTTATTTAATTTTAAAACCGAATTGTCGAATTGTGCGATAATTTTTATAATTTTGTCCGTCAAATTGTAAAATATCTTAGACGTTCTGGATTATATAATAATTATTAGAGACGTCCATTAGCCCATAAGTTACGGCCAATAGTAATCGGAACTTGTTAGAACATTGATAAAAAACAACAAAATTTTTTCATCCCTTTACGTCTGTTATTCCTCTTAAAATTATTTGTCCCCGTCAATGGACCCCATGCTCTTGAAGCGATCTCAGGGCCTCAAATCTTGAACTTAAAGTTTACCCTACCTTCACTTTTCAGGATTTCTCTTTGAAGCTATGCTTAAATAAAAGTTTATTAGACGTTGATCACTAGATAAGCAATCGCTATAATTAAACCCTTACAATTTTAAAAATTCATCTAAAACGGTAAAAATAAATTAAATTTCAAACACAGCTTTAACTGTATAATCTTAAATACGGTAAATTATTTAGTTTGCCAATAAGATAAACAAATTGAGAATTTGTAAATAAATTATAGTGAATCCGTTAATCAGCTTCATTAAATATTTCATTTTTAAAAACAATATTGAAATATTTGTACCCTAAAGAATCTCTGTATAAATCTCGTATAACTCTTAACTAAAAGCTCCGCGAAACTTGAATATCTTAAGAAAAAATCTATGATTTACGGTCAAATTTACGGTAAAAAGGTTTATAACAGAATAAGAATTAAGATATGTTTATAATTATTTTATTTTCTGTCTATTTTTATATATCGGTGCTTGGTAGCATTTGAGGGGGTTGTTTCAATTTTAGTTTTGAGTTCAGGCATACTATAATTTGATTATATTAAAACCTTAGTATATCCGCGGAAAATTGCATGCCGCTGCGGGGAAAGACTGGAATGTCTAGCGGAACGATGCTGCCACTTTGCTACGGTCGTCGAGAGAGAAAGCTTTTAATGCGTCTGACTTAAAGTCGATGATTGTAGAGGGGCAAATTAGCATTAAAAATAAGGAGAAAAAATCGCAGGCGACATAGTCTCTCTTTCCATCGACTGTTAAGCAAGCATTAATAATTACATCCGCTTTTTAAATTAATAAGTTGGCATTGATTTATTATGAAATATTGCCCTCTAAAATTATTTAAATTCACTTATTAACTCTCTTAGCTAAACATAAATATATATTTTTTTGCAAGTTTAGAAAAGAATTAGGTAAAAGCTAAAAACTTAAAACTAGAAAATGAATAAGGTAAAATTCTGGATATTCTATAGGTCATTATAGCAGGATGCCTTATTAAATATTTATGGCAATTTTGGGTCGAAATTTACATTTAAATTTGTTTTATTCCAACGCAGTTATAAATTCGTTAAAAGATTTTTAGAAAGAGCTAAATTATTAAAAAAAACTATATTAAGCTAGATATGATTCTAAAAGAATATTTTTATTTGTTTTTATCAAAATTCAATTAGGTTTAATATATTAATTTTTTTAAATTAAGCTTCTAAATTGCAATATTAAATTTTCAAAATATAAATTTCACCTATAAATTTAATTTATGAAGATATTTCAATTAAATCCCTTTCCACCATTTGTTTTGTTGTTGTTTTGTTTAATAAATAGTAATTATTTTTAATTTAATTTAGGTCGACAAGCTGAGTCGTACGGTACCATTCTTTTTTTCCGGAAATAAAAAAGAGTGGGTGCCCAAAATCGAAAAACCACAGGGGTGAGTAAACACAATTTTTCAGAGGTCTTTATCTCAGTTCAAGTAAATCAAATTTCAATAATTTTGATGGCATTCGGCTATCTCGATGAGCTCTTTTGAATGAGCTATCATTCAAAAAATAACCCCAATGGTTTTGATTTTCGGGAACCTATATCTCTGTCCACAGACATCTCCGTAAAAAGAGTGGTGTCGTTTGACCAGCTCGTCCAATCGACGAGCTGGTTTATATAAATAATGTTAACTTAAGGATGTTTTGCTGTTTATGGCTCAAAAAGTGAAATCGAAGCAGGTAGTTGCGATAATAAAATAATAAATACTATCTCTTATTCTTGTCTTTATTTGCTATACATATACCAGTTATATAGTTCAGCCTAAGGAAAAAATTGGGTTTTATAAATTTATTTTAATTGCATAAGAGGCTTCAACTTCGCAAGAAACATGTGAATGTGGCCTAAGCAACATTGCTGAATTAATGGATGAAAATAATGTAGAAAATATTCGTGTTACTATTGGAGAAATTAATCTGATATACAGAGCTGGTGTTAATATTGGTTTTGGGGGATTTGCTCTGGTAGGTTTGAAATAAGGTTACAATTTTCTGACATAACGTATTGAAATTCATAATGTATTAAAATTTCCAAGGAATAGCCTTCTCGATGATGTAATCTTAGTCTAATTGTGTAATTGTGAACGACTTTTTATGGACTATGGAACCTTGAAACTTTCTTACAAACATGAAATCTTAAAACATTCCATTTATTAAAAAAATATTTTTCCTAATTAAAGATTTATCACGCATATATACCGGCTGAACGCAAATGTGTAGCATTGAAAATATCACAACGAAATGGGAGTATTCAGGCGATAAGAAGAGAAGCTGCCATTCTGGAATACGTTAATGAATCTGTTGATGATGATGATAGAAGCCATATAATAAAATTGCTTGGATAGTAATATTTTTTAAATTAACAATAAAAAATTAAATTTTTGACCATTTTACTATTATTTAGTAAGGAAATGGTAGATAGACAACAACGAGAGACTTTATATTTAGTTATGGAATTCGGAGGAATGAATTTGGGAGATTATTTTAATGAACGAATTAAAAAAATACGAGATGAAGGAAAAATTGTGCTTACAAAAATTATTAGGGGAGCGGCACTAGCACTTGAACAATTCCATAAATGTATGAATATTTAAATAATAATAACAATGTTTATCACGATATCATGCATTTTTACTCATAAAGTCACCACAATTGGTGTGTATCGGCGAAGTTTATCAGTAAATAAGTTAGTCCGTAGTTAGTTTCAAGATCTCTTCTTTCTATGCATGCATTGTTTCCCCGCGTGTTATAAACCATTATTTATGCATTTATCTCGATGATTTTCGGACATATCAACAATGAACACAAGAATGTTATTTAATGGAATTTGGCGTTTAATCTGTATCTTTTTCCTTATCAAATCTTTTCATTCTGTCTATTCGTTTTATAAAAATAATTTCTATTTAGTTGGAATTCATGGAGATGTTAAAAATGAAAATTTTGTAGTATCAATTGATCAAAGTTCAAATCGAAATGTAATTGACTGTAAATTAATAGATTTTAACTATTCTGTTCTAACGGGCCAAGGAATACCAGCCAATTTAAATCTTCCTATAAAACGACCGGAAGATATTAGTTTTGTATTGAACAAAGCCCCAGAAATTGAAAGAGATGAGGTAATAATTATTTTCAACGAATTGAAATCAAGAAAGAAATTACTAAAGTAATAGAATTAAACAGAGCTAGAGACTAATTTTGGAACAAAATTTAGGCCAGAAATCATTGTTTAGAACACAAATAAATTCTGAAATATATCTTAATTCTTTCTCAAGATAATTTGTTTTAAGGTTACCGAAAAGGCGGACATATGGGCGTTTGGGTTAATGGTCTATCAATTTATTTATGACGATCATTGTAAATTTTTATTTAAATTTGAAATTTTTGTACGTTAAATATATTAATAAATAAACCCTTTTAACAGTCAACAACGTTTCTGAAATTTACGCGAGAATGAAAGAATACCAATTAAACTCAGAATATAATGGACATTTGGAACGGGTTATTAAGGTAAAGCATGTTATTAGTGTAATTAAAGTATTTGAGTAAATATTTTAAGTTGCTAGTTTAAATAAGTTTAATATTTCCGGATCGTAACCGAGCTGGTCTTAATTTATTTAAAAATTTCGGATTTCCACTAAAACGAACATTATACTACTAAATATAATTTTATTTATTTAAAGGCATGTACACGCGAGAATATTAATGAAAGACCTACTATGTTTGAAATACTCCGCTTTTTGAATTTTGAAATTGAATATTTTGAATATGAAATGCGTTTGAAAAATGTTCAACGACATAGAGAAGCAAAGCGAAAAGAAAAACGAAGTCATCGCTTTTCAAGTTGGGTTACGTGCTTTGGATTCTGTCGAAGGAATTGAAAAAATACAGATATGAATTATAAAACATTATCTTATTCCTACTAAATTTTTCAAAAGATTGGATCAAAGATTGGCTAGGGTTTCGCTCATGAACACACATAAACTCATGTTTTTCTTGTCTAAAAACATGTGGGGAGATAAAATATCAGTATAAAAATACTTAAAATGGTCCACTTTTGCATTTTCACATAATTATCAGACCCCTGAAAATCCAGTAACCACAGGGGTAGTAAGCTCGATTTTAGGTAAAAAATTCGAATATGCAAATAATAGCTCATTCGAAAGAGCTTGTCGGGCTGAGTCGAATGACACCAAAATCAACGAAATCCGACTTGATTTGACAAAGTTATGACCGTTTGTTTTTACCCCCTACATAGGGTCTAAGCGGAAAAAAGTTCTTGCCACCACCACAGTCAAGCACCATGCCCAGCCTACTCTGCATAGCAGCACAAATCAGTTTTCCGCGAAGATTCTGTTTGTCATAACTTTGTTCAGAATCATCCTATCGAGCTGATTTTGGTGCATTCAACTCAGCTCGTTGAGCCCTTTCGAATGAGCTATTATTTGCATACTCGAATTTTTAACCCCAAAAACAGCTTACTCCCCCCTATGGTTCCTAGATTTTCAGGAGGCTGAAAGAGTACTTTTATTTCCGAGTACTTTTATTTTTTCCGAGTACTTTTATACTGATATTTTACCTTCTCACAAGTTTTTTGACAAGAAAAACATGAGTTTTGGTGTGTGTGTTAGTGAAACCCTTACCTAAAGAGTGTGAAACCCTTACCCCCTGACTAGTATTAGTTAATTTCACTGACATCTTTTTCAAAAAAATTTTATTAGATTTTAGATAAACATGGGTACTTATCCCTTATACCACACCCCCTCAAAGTAGTGTCCAAAATGTCATATATGGGGTAATAAAGGGTGCTGATCACGATTATGGTGTTTATTTCTCAATATAAGAACCCCCTCACCCATAAATTGTCATGGTTCATAATGGTCAAACTTCAAGTTTGGACGCATTTGACTACCACAATGGCAGAAACGTTCAGTATGAAGCAAACCGCAATTTTGAAAAAATTTTGCAGCGTTTGATTCATCAGGACATCCCCCCATTAGTGTGTCATAATTATAGGGCATTTTTTATTTATTTTTATTATTATGGGTTAAAATGAATGAAATCGTTTATATACTCATTAAACGACCAATAATCACACAGAAAATAAATATTAAATATTAGTGCATTAATAAATATAAGTGCAAAATAAATATTAGTGCATTAATAAATATAAGTGCAAAATAAATATTAGTGCATTAATATTGCTCATACCTATATATTTATTTAAATAAAAACTTGAAGTTTGACCATTATGAACCATCACAATTTATGGGTGAGGGGGTTCTTATATTGAGAAATAAACACCATAATCGTGATCAGCACCCTTTATTACCCCATATATGACATTTTGGACACTACTTTGAGGGGGTGTGGTATAAGGGATAAGTACCTAAACATGATACGCATTTGTAGAAGTGTGCAAGAATTGTCCTTAGTTTTGATTTAAAACTTTCCTTTGTTTTTATAGGTATTTTATAGGTATTATATTATATTTTTTTATAGGTATTTTTATAGTAATATGCGAAGCGCGTAATTTTCCGTGCTGAAAATGTGAAAAGCTCGAAAATACGAATTTCGGCCAGCCCTAATGGACATGCCCGGCTTCCTCAGCAGCAGCAAAAATTCGCGTAAATTTTCTCAGTGCGCGAAGCGCACTGGTTTAATATTTCATTTCAAAGCTAAATTTGGAAAAATTAATATATAAAACTAAAATTAATATATAAAAATTAATATATAAAATTAATATATAAACTTAATATATAAAATTGTATTTTGTTAAAAAAACAAAACAAAATATTCTTCTATTTAGAATAAAAACTCTTCTTCGAATCCATGATTGTGAAATAAGTTTAGACAATTCTTTATTCTAAATATAAAATTTTTTAATCTCTGATTCAAATATGTAATTTTAGTTTATTAAGATTTTAAACTTGTACCTAAAATCTAATTTCTCATGAATTTCCCGCAACTTCAAAATAATTTTTTGCGTCGGACTTTAGCAATTGAAGTTTTTCTCCTAAGGCGTTCCAAAATTTTCACCTGTTGCACTTAAAAGTGATTTGAGATTAAAAAGGATATCAATAGATCAAAAGGTGAAATGTTCCATGGAAGAAGTCGAGTTTGGAAGAAGACCGTTAGTTCCTCCACTTATATATCAAACTAACTCATATTTCATGAAATCTTAAAATATTCTAAATTTGAAATATTAGATAATAATTTTTGTATATATAACGAATAATTTTTGTATAATTTGGACGCGACTTCGACAATAAATTGGACGCGACTTCTAATAGAATGCCCATTTGGTAGGTGATTAGATAATTCTATTAGAGAAAATACGGTATTTTTATTTTTAAAATTAATTTCATATTTTTTATAAATTACGATTACAGCATTTTTTAAGTTACAAATTACGATTACGAAATTTTTTTAAAACTTAAAACCTTTTCTTTTTTTTTATCTTTTACTTTAAAACTTTTTCATATTCTTTCGGCTTTTTTCCAGTTTATTTCTCAATCACACGAACCTCATAATCAAAATGAGTAATATCCCCGTTTAGAAATTTGAGAATATCATCAATTATTGGACGATCGTTCGGTTCTTTCTGAAGACAAGCCTGAAACACATGTATTTAATTATTATATTTGCGTTAAATCATTTATCGAAAGTTAAATTTATGTTTTTAAATATGTTTTGGGCGGAGAAAATAAATAATACTAGTATATTGTGTAAAACAAACTTTAAAAGGGACTGAAAATACAATAAAATTATAAATATTTAAAATATTCAAGATTTTTACCTTTATAATACGATCAATAAGTCCATCTTTACTCTTGTCTGATATATATTCTGGCACAATTTGTTGAATATGAAAATATCTATCCGGCACTTTAATTATAAAATGTGAATTATTTAAATAATATGCTGTATTTAATTGGTATACCGGTGGAAAAGTTTCGATACAAGAAATATAGTTTCGAATGAGCTATTATTTGCATACTCGAATTTTTAACCCCGAAAACAGCTTACTCCCCCCTATGGTTCCTAGATTTTCAGGAGGCTGAAAGAGTACTTTTATTTCCGAGTACTTTTATTTTTTCCGAGTACTTTTATACTGATATTTTACCTTCTCACAAGTTTTTTGACAAGAAAAACATGAGTTTTGGTGTGTGTGTTAGTGAAACCCTTACCTAAAGAGTGTGAAACCCTTACCCCCTGACTAGTATTAGTTAATTTCACTGACATCTTTTTCAAAAAAATTTTATTAGATTTTAGATAAACATGGGTACTTATCCCTTATACCACACCCCCTCAAAGTAGTGTCCAAAATGTCATATATGGGGTAATAAAGGGTGCTGATCACGATTATGGTGTTTATTTCTCAATATAAGAACCCCCTCACCCATAAATTGTCATGGTTCATAATGGTCAAACTTCAAGTTTGGACGCATTTGACTACCACAATGGCAGAAACGTTCAGTATGAAGCAAACCGCAATTTTGAAAAAATTTTGCAGCGTTTGATTCATCAGGACATCCCCCCATTAGTGTGTCATAATTATAGGGCATTTTTTATTTATTTTTATTATTATGGGTTA